TTTAAAGCTTGGATTTTCACTCTGATGGCTGACACACAAGTCATTCTTACCATCAACCACCCCTACACCCACGCTGCTGCGTCTGGTGTTCATGGAGGCGACGTACGTCCACTCGTTGGTTTTATAGTTGTAAATCTCGACTGTTGACAGACCTGAGACACAGATGCAAAGAAAGAAGGGAGAGATGTAGAAATGGGAAAGACTGGAAGCGAAGGTTTGCGGTAAAGGGTTACCGAGTGTGTTATCACATCAGTCTGTGAGCGTTCTACACCCAGCTGGTAGATGTGTTGTGAGAAGAAAATGGATCTGCTGCCTCCCGTGTTTTAATGGGGTTTAATAGAGCATAAGAGTGCTGTGCCACTACAAGCAAATGTATCAAATGAGAGAGAGAACAGTCAGATGATGATACCAAGGAAAAACAACTTTTTTTCTAAAATGAAAATATTTTTCTTGACTTGCATAGAAATTTACTTTAATTTCCTCCAGTATAAACAGTTCATAATCAGTATTTTTATATTAATTGAAGGCAGTGCAATGAGATCCCTCTGAGAACTATCACACATCCAGTTGCTGCTCACAAACTGCAATAATGTGACAAATGTTGTATCTATAACGACTGAAATTTACTTTAAAAATGTGTTTATTTGTGTTACCAACGGGCACATTATGCATAAACCCACTGCTATTAATAGCCATATGCATTATGTGTACCTATGCTTCCGTTAAAGCCTCCCACAGCATACAGTAAATCGCCCAGCACAGCGGCTCCCAGCGTGCTGCGTCTCTCCTGCATGCTCGACACCGCGCTCCACTGGTCTCTTGTGCCGTCGTACACGTCCACCGTACGCTCCCGCAGCGAACTGTTGAAACCTCCAACCGCAAACACTCGGCCCGCCATGGAAACCACACCTGGGAAACCAGACAAAGAATTTGGGGATGAGATCATAGCTTGTTACATTTAAACGCAGGTTTCCAAAAGTCATCGCTTCTATGAGGAAACCACGAGAACGTGCATTTCTGACATGTTGGTTTCTAAACAAAGTCTGTCTTGAATCCTTATATCAGGGGTGTCAAACTCAAACACACAGTGGGCCAAAATTCAAAACTGGAACAAAGTCGC